CATTCGTGTTTCTACCGCGAAGCAGTTGTGTTTACACGGCAGTATTTCGGTTTGAAGGGTGAGCTATGGTAGTGAATTTACAGGGTACAGAGAAATAACACCTGAGTTCTCAATAATGGCAACAAATGGGAAGTATCATGGGCGAAACAGTATACTCTGTTAAGTCCACGGTACTGCTCATGTCTATAGGTGACGGTTACTTTCCATCAGGTGGGCTGTCAGCTTGTTTGCCATTCTAAGTGGCATAAAAAAAAAGTCACCAACCCTAAAAATGTCTTTTATATTTTTTTCTTAAAACTTATTACACCTATTGACAGGATATCCAATATGAAATAGTAATAATTTCTAACTCATAAACGTTTAAATGTGAGTACAACTTGTAGGACATGTGTTTACCGACCGCAGCGCCCCTGGCGGCCGAGTTTACGACACAAACTCAAACCGTGGTTCGAATCTAATAATAAATTTATGGGTTCGCGATACTGTTATTGGTTTCGGAGTAGTTTTACTATGCGGTGATATTTTAGAGCGTTGAAATGTTTGCAAGTTTAAAATGTTACTAACGAAGACAAATAGAAGCCAGGTGTAATGGAATGGCTATAATAATAATAAGACGTGTGGGTAGGTGAATAAATAAAAATTTATTTTAATTTATTTATACTTTCAAAATAGAATAGAATAGAAAATATATATTGCCAGAAAAACACAATAACAACAGAAAATACATGTATAAGAAGTGTCTCATTTTAGGCAAAAGGAACTGGCTCAGCTGATGCTGTGAGTGTTTGCGCTGGGCAATGTGTACAGCTGCATAGCGCTGGTTTCCAGCCAGTCACTTTAGCACACATTAAAATATGTCTACAGGGCGGACTTAATAATAATAATAATAACTTTATTGTACCTAAAAGTCGGGTACACAATTTCTTATACAGTGATTACTACACTAGGCTCGCAGGCCTGTATCGTAGTAGTCAGTGAGTGGCTAATTTTGTTCATATTTATTGCCATTTACAGTCCGGTTCCTGTATAATTTTATCATTTAGGGTACATTAAATTTGAAAATTAAAAATTGAAAATTAAAATACATTTGAAATGAAATAAAAAAAAAAATACATAACTAAACAAGAAAAAAAAAGAAAATTAATGCTAAATATTTAAGGTTCCATAAGGTACTTATTTCTACACGATAAAAGAATTTGTAAGTCTGAATGGCAGATTAGACTAAGAATGCATTTTACGTAATAATATTAATAATATGACATGTACGAGTACAATTTTAATGCTTTATAACTATAATATCGACTATTTTTAAATGTTGACATAATTAACTAATTCAATGTAACAATTAATATGTATTTAGAATAATTATTTGGACATACATAATTGATAAACTTTTACTTAACATGTGCTAAGACAAAATTTGCATGCCTTTAGATAAGGCGAAATGTGTAGTTCAGTTACCATTTTAAGACCTTTGTACCACATTTCGAGCAAATAAATTATTCTTATTCTTATTCTTATTCTTAATACTATTACATATATTTATTTTAGAAAAGAGAAGTGTGTGTGGATGTGTGTAGTATGCCTGATAGTATTCTCTACTAGTCAACCGTTACCCCAAACAGAGGTTATATTTATATTTTAATATAGGGTTGGTCGGCAGCGTCTCTCTTAAAACAACACCAAAGCCTAACTGCGGTTGCCAACCTGCCTGCCAAGCGTGACAACTATTTTTATAGGGGAGGCACGTGAACATAGGTTCAGCAGTGGACAGTTAGTTTTTAGGGAGATATGTCCACATTCGAGTCTGGTGGATTCCCCAGTCTCAAACATTGCTAAATCGATCGTTACTTATGGAATTATCCAGGACGGTAAGTGGTCCAATATTGGATGTTTCCCGAGGCACATTCTAGATGGAGTATATCCTAAATTAATACGAGTACATAGAATATTCTTAAAACTGAATGCTTTCAAGTACAGATGGATATCAATTATTCAGTTACCTCATCTAAATACGCTTCAGATATGCTAATTCAAAACCTTACTTAGGTATCATACAAATTAATACATTAATTGAAACCTATGTCGGATTTACCAGCAGACTGTGTAGACTGGAGCTTAGGGTGGCAGATTTTTGGGTGGCAAATTTGAGACCAACCGTTACAGTTTCATTGATATTTTTTTTAAAATAATATGTTTGTGAACTAGAGTTTAGGTAGGTTGTGAATTGGAGGTCGGTGGAGTGTGAAAATTTTAATAGCCCACTGGCGGCAAATGTCTAAGTCCGTTTCTGACTGAATTTTTTTTATACAACTTAGAATGGCAAACAAGTTTACGGCCCATCTGATGGACAGTGGTAACCGTCGCCTATAAACAAGAGCAGTACCATGGACATAACAGAGTATACTGTTTCGCCCACGATACCCCCCATGCGTTGCCATTCCTGAGAACTCGGATGTTATTCCTCCGTACCTAGTAAATTCACGCTATATCCCACGCTTCAAACCGAAAGACAGCCATGCAAACACAACTGCTTCACGGTTGAAACACGAATGGGACAGAGGTACTAGTAAATAAATGTGGTAATAGTAAATAAGAAATCCTTTTAAAATGTTTTGATAATTGCTTAGATACACGAATAAGTTCGTTTGTAAAGCGAGGTAAAATAATTTGTCATTTTTTTTCTGTTGTATGTGTGCTGTTAAGTATGTGTAAGTTATGTATATATTTAATTGTGTATATATTATATATGTATGTGTATGCGTGTATGTATATATGTTTGTATATATAAATTACCTATCTATCTATCTAATTTGAAACTGGGGGATGGGCTTTCGATATCTTAAATGGGGTAAATGCATCGCGTGCTATATCCTCACATAAAATACCCTGGGTTCTCGGAATCAATGGCCGTTATCTACCGTGCGGGCTTGCTGAAAGCTTCGTATCAATACTGTCGGTGCACTGATAAATTTACATGTCATTGCAAACGTAATTACTGATAAACTATGCAATAAAGTGATTGTAGCGTAACAGTATACTCTGTTACGTCCATGGTACTGCACATGTCTATAGACGACGGTTACCACTTTCCATCAGGTGGGCCGTCAGCTTGTTTGCCATTCTAAGTTGTATAAAAAAAGATTATCATTTTTTTCTATGGAATGATAATGGAATTGCCGTGTGTGCCCCGGCATAGAATAAGCCACCCTTTCCTTCTCCGTGGGTGTCCTAAGAAGCGTCTAATGGAGGACAGCAGCGTCCCTCTTAAAACAATCTCAAAGGTCTAACTGCGATTGCCAACCCGCCTGCCAAGCGTGACAACTACTGGCAAACCTCCTCTTATGGGGAAGACTTATGTCCAGCAGTGGACAGTTAACGGCTGAATTAATAAATAGAATAGTAACCTTGCCTATTGTATACGCTGGCGGGGTACTAGTGAGGGATGATAGATGCGAATGAAAGTAGGTCCGTTAGCCCATCGTGATGAATTAAACAAGGATTTCCAGGGAGAAACTGCGTGGAGATCGACCTGATAGGGTATATTGGGGCTGCTACTCTCTCTTTATCTCTTTACCCCAAGTTTGTCACCCCCGCCACCCAACTTTTTACTTCAATGTGTGTGACAAACATGGTGCTTTGTTTGTGTTTGCCAGGAAACGACTTCAGTAGCAGTCCTGTTAGTGGAGTATCTTATTCGTTGGTCGAAACCTTGTAAATCACTCACACATTTTTAATTCTTTGGTTATTGGAGAGACATGGCATGTTATCGTTGACAATCTATACTCACTTAATTTTTCTTAAAACGTACCACAGCATAAAGAATTGCTTTTACGTAAGGATCTAAACAGAGTAATTTTTGTGGTGAGGTCACGGTGGCGCGAGGGAGTGGGGTTTATGACTTGAAACTAAGACAGGGGAGAGGATTGTCAGTAATAGGAACGAATGGTCCCGATGCCAGTAATATGTAACTGTCAGAACGACTTCTACACTGTTCCCTTGATACTAACGTGGAAAATTCTTAATGAATATGTTTGGATGGATCTACTGATCTGCTTTTTTTATACAACTTAGAATGGCAAACAAGCTGACGGCGCACATGATGGAAAGTGGTAACCGTCGCCTATAGACATGAGCAGTACCATGGACATAACAGAGTATACTGTTTCGCCCATAATACCCCCCATGCGTTGCCATTCCCGAGGACTCAGGTGTTATTCCTCTGTACCCAGTAAATTCACGCCATATCCCACCCTTCAAACCGAAACACAGTTATGCCTATCACCCTCACTGATAGCCCGTGCCTAGGATTTTATTCTATTAGCATCTATAAAAGACCTGGTTTCAGGTCTCCACAGAAACATCTGGTCTTCCAGTTTTGTATGTCATATTCGTGTGAGCGACATATTCGATATATTTCCATATTTCCGAGCCACTGCCAAGTCACTAACATGTTTGTTTATTTGTAACATTTAACAACAGTTTTATCTTAGGGTATAGAGTTCTTAAGAAAAGAATAAGTACAATGGCGAACTTATCCCATAAAAAGGATTCCTTCCAATCAACCTTCGATTGTCTGATAGATTTTTTTATACCACTGAGATGGTAAGCAAGCAAACGGCCCACCTGAGGAACTTATGAACGTCTGCAATACCATGGGCATTACGCGTATAATGCCGACCTTGAAGCAATCTTTTTATCCCATTTTTTATAAACTCCAAAAACCAAAAAAAAAAACCTCTGGAAACATCTCTGAAATTACCCTGTACGCGACTATCCGTACTGCAAGGTATGGGGGTGAACTTGCTGTCGATGGCGAGCTGTACGATGATAAAAAGTGGCCGTGGGTCTCTGAGCACAGTTTATTGTATAACTAGTAGAACAAACAGAATGAGGCAAAATCTTTCCTAATAATTAATGGTTTAATATCGCTTGTAAGCCTAGGATCATCTACAATTCTTATAGCTCGTCGTTGTACTAAATCGAATAAAATATATATATTGACTAGCTGACCCCGTAAACGTTGTTTTACCACTTATTGCGAAATAAAAAAATCACGATTAAAATACAGGGGTTGATCGTAAAACGATGAAAATTTAAAGTTGTATGTATTTTTCAATGCTAAATTATAATAAAATAAAAATTAAAAAAATGTCAAAAAAATAAAAATAATTTTTAAGGGGTGGGTCACCCTTATCATTGAGGGGTATAAAAAATAGATGTTGGCCGATTCTCAGATCTACCGAATATGCACACAAAATTTCATGAAAATCGGTAAAGCCGTTTCGGAGGAGTTTGGTAACAAACACCGTCACACGAGAATTTTATATATTAGAAGATTTATAGACGTTATTTTTATTTTAGTGCAACGCAGTCTCCTGTTGAAACAATTTGAACAATGGACGACCGCACAGTAGACCTCATCTTCGCGGGCTGCCTGAAGTCCCTCCCGCCGGTCAGCTCCAAGATCGTGAGGATCTTCACCAGTTCTACATTCACAGGTAAATATTATCGGATTGTAACAGACTGAGATAGATTACAGAGGGGTGAGGGATTGTTAGGACGTTTATCCCCATTGCTAGCAATATACCCTGTTAGGGTGACCTCTACATGGTTTCTCTTGGAAACCATTAATCGTAGCGTATTCGACAAATGGGTCAACTACGATGGTTTCCAGGAGAAATCACGTGGAGATCGACATGATATGGAATATTGCTAGCAATATGGCTATTTGAATCCATGACAAACAATCCCCCCCCCCCCGCCGCTCCTATCCCTGGAACAGATCGTGCTGAATCCTGATCTGCCTTTTCATTCTCACCAATCATCCCTCACTGGATAGCGCAGGCGGGATTACTATTCCATTATCGTCCATAAAAAATACTGAATAAATATTAATTCTCTAGTGTTTATTTTCAGTAATCACTTCAACTTAGAAACTTTTCTTCTTAATTATATTAATAAAGATTCTTGTATTTCTCAAAAGGCCACATCAAACATTGTTTACATTTTAACCCCAAACTAAAAGATCAAAGATCGTTCATTAGTAATGTAATCATAGACTTAGTTCTATATAGATGTCGCATACACTGGAGGGTAGAGTATTGACGCAACACCTGAACACCCAGTAGAACAGTGGAAAAGGTGTCGTATAATAGCAAAATCGTTACGAACAAAGTTGGTTATACAACGGAAAAGATAACAAATAACTACTAGAGAATACGCTTGAAAACAATAGGAAAGAAAGAAAGACGATGGATGCGAGATGAGATGAATGTGAGCATAAATAAAAATAAATAGCCTTGCCAATACTCCTAAATTAACAACCTGGAAATTAATATCCTGGCCCACGGATGCTCCACAAGGGGAAGCAACGAAAAAAAAAAAACAAAATAAAAAATTAAAAAAATTAAATAAAGAGTATTGACGCTAAGAGTCGACTTGAATTCTCGATTCTAATTGTTATAATAGTATATGATATTTATGTCGAAAAATATTTAGAAGACGACGAAACCAATCGAAAGAGTTTTCCGCTGAAGGGATTTGCTATAAATTATATCTTTTGTATCATTAATATCACAATGGCTAGTTAATTTTAAACTTGAGCGTTGTTTACAGAGGGAGACTTGGCACAAAAGTCGATTGCTTGGGTACCTCTGTCCCATTCGTGTTTCAACCGTGAAGCAGTTATGTTTGTATGGCTATGTTTCGATTTAAAGGGTGGGATATGGCGTGAATTTACTGGGTACAGAGTACTACAGAGAAATAACATCTTCCTCAGGAATAACAACGTATGGGGGGTATCATGGGCGAAACAGTATACTCTGTTATGTCCATGGTACTGCTCATGGCTATAGGCGACGGTTACCACTTTCCATCAGGTGGGTCGTCAGCTTGTTTGCCATTCTAAGTCGTATAAAAAAAAATTAAATACACATTTGGGACTTAACAACATGGTGCAATCCACGTCGAAACATCGGCAATAAAGCAGCAGATATGTAGCTACTATTTACCTGTAAAATCTTTTTCATCGCATTAAAACCCGATTGTGTATTTAAAAATATCACAATAGCTTCCTAGTACATAAAAAAAAATGTTGATATGATTGTTCTAGGGTTGGTTTTTTTTTCTATAAGCTGTCTTGGAGTAAAAGTTCTTAATATATTTTACTGAACTAGATGTTATTTTGCGCAATTCCGTATCACTTGTTCGGTTATTAGAATTATTTACTTTTGGCAATAATAACAGAAGTCAATATTCGAATGTTGGCAACCTCACGCGTGCTATTGTTAGCGGAATTAAAGAAAATATATGTAAAGTTCTGAACATCACGTTCGCTTTGTATATTAGTAAATAGTGTACGAGTATTGAAGTGTAAATAAACTAGTTAATCTGGCTAACTTTGTTATGCCACATAAACAATTTTTTTTGAATAGGGCCACCCTTATCACGTAGGAGTATCAAAAATAACCTACGACCTATTCTCAGATCTACCAAATTTCCATAAAAAAAATCATAAAAGTCAAGCCGTTTCGGATGAGTTTAGTGACAAACACAATGACACGAGATTTTTGTATGTAAAGATAAACTGTAGTAGTTTCTCCATCTATTTTCAATGATATCTGTGTGCAATATCTACTTACATTCAAACTATACGGTCATTGCACCCTGTTGTCAAGACAGAATCGTTTACGAGTGTTTTGCAATCGTTAGCAAGACAGGTGAAGCTGATTTTACCAAGAACTGAAGATATTAAAGCGCGCTTAAACCATTTAGTGTTGGCATGGTGTTACCATGAGTTTTGGTAAAGACAGGAATCCAGCTTTAGTTTCTGAAAATATTATATTAAAATTATAAATATGAAAGTTTGTAAGGATGGGTGGATAGATAGATAGATAGATGGATAGATATTTAGTTTATTTGCATTACTTACAGCACACAAATAACAACAGACATAAACAGTAAAAAGAGAATATATATATATATATATATATATATATATATATATATATATATATATATATATATATATACAAAAAGAAAGCAAAATATATAAAACAAGTAAAAAATTTTTTCTTTCATGCATGTGCCATATTAATACAATAGCTAAATGCTGTAAAAATATATAAATTGTTGTAGATAGACAATAACAAATATATCCAAATTGACTTAAATTATTATTTGTTCTTCGTTCACACATTTTTTTTTAATGGATGATAATGAAATGATAACCCCGCCTACGCTAACGGTATACGCTGGCGGGGCACCAGTGAGGGATGATAGGTGAGGATGAAAAGGCAGGTCAGTTAGCCCATCGTGATGAATACACTTGGAATTCAGCACGATGTTTTCTAATGGAACTATGTGGTCCTAGTCATACTAGTCCGCAGTACTAACAATCTCTTCCGGGGGGAAAGGGATTGTTAGTAATGGAGACTGAGAGTCCCATTGCTAGCAATATACCCAACCAGGGCGACCTCCTCGCGGTTCTCCCTGGAAACTATCATGGTTAATTCCTAATGAATTCATCATGATGGGCTAACTGGCCTGTTTTTATCCTCATCTATCACCCTTCACTGATGCTCCGCCAGCGTATCCCGTTAGCGCAGGTGGGGTTACCATACTATTTTCACCCATAAAAAAAGAACACATTCTCTTACTCTCCTACACAACTTGTCGGTCATGCGAACGAAGTCGCAGGTAAAAGCTAGTACAATAATGAAAGACTGATTTCCTGCAATGGGATATATAAGGTACCTACCATTATTGTTGTAGGCAGACTGTTGTCTTAGCTAGATAGGAATAATAGCAGGATTGTCTAGATCCAGGAGCGGATTAAGGCCGAAATGTGCCCTCGAATTTTACCTAAGTCTCTTTAGACATTTAATTAATATAATAACGGGAACAGCTGTCTGTTTTTAATTCGATTTAATTTTTAATTTTATTTCTAAACGACGTCCAAGACAACGATTATTGTGGGAGCGAAAAAGAAATATGAAAATCGGCTCAGAATTTACGACGTAATTATAATAATTATTATTATTCATATTAGTTTATATTTTATAAGAAAAACCGACTTCAACTGTAGAAAAATGGATTATTTTGATTTATAAACTAAACTACTCGATCGATTTTGATAATATTTCTATGTATATTCTTTCACATAAAAAAAAAAAAAAATTATTCATTAACAAATATATTTTATTACCAAATCGACTTACAGCTGACTGACTGAGTTATGAGGCAATAGACATAATAAATTACCATTTATTAATAAAATTAAAATTTATTTGAAAAGAATACGAGCCGAGTTTCTTGTCAGTTCTTCTCATCTCGAAATCATTCCGAACTGGGAAGACTTTGTACAAAAGTCGTTTGCTTGGGTACCTCTGTCACATTCGTGTTTCAACCGTGAAGCAGTTGTGTTTGCATGGCTGTGTTTCCGTTTGAAGGGTGGGATATGCCGTGAATTTACAAGGTACAGAGGAATAATGCCTGAGTTCTCAGGAATGGCAACGCATGAAGGGTATCATGAGCGATGACAGTATACTCTGTTACGTCCACGGTACTGCTCATGTCTATAGGCGACGGTTATCACTTTCCATCAGGTGGGCCGTCAGCTCGTTTGCCATTCTAAGTTGTATAAAAAAAATTACATACGCAACAGATATAAATTCAATAATAAATATATACATATGCACCGATACATACATACATATATATATACACATATATATATATATATATATACATATATATACATATATTAAAGCGAAACTGGGCAAGTCGCTTGTATATATTTTCTCTTTATTAAAGAAGTCTGCTTTATACATTGTTTGAATAGCTATGCGAGTTGTCTAAGAACTAAGATGCAATTTTGTACGTTGTACTACATAGTAATTATAATAGAGATATCCGGCCGTTAACCAAGAGAATTGCTACTAAATTCCATTCATACAGTCGAGTTTATTACCTATTCATTTTATTCATAAAAACTAAAACCTCTGTAGAAGGTTGTACGTCTGTACCTATTTTTTACTATAAGAGTGCTTTGTTCCTGTCTTTCAAATTGAGAAATTAGGGTAAAAGTATAGAACAAAACAGGGGGTCTACCATGAAATGAAATTCTGAATTTTCGAACTCAATTTCGTGTTTTTGTTCGTACAGAAATCGACCCTGTAAATGGAGCTTAACATTTCGTTTGTCATAAATCCTACCATAAAAATACAAAGGAAAGATATTTTAGCATTTTTAATATTTTTAAACGGTACGTATCATGTAATGTTAGCATCAAATTTTTGTTTCGTTCGGATCCGAAATTTCGGAAAACATTTCATGGTAGGCCCTCAGTTCAATAGCTGTAATTAATTATTGTATCCCACAAAAAGAAACAGACTTCATCTTTGTAACATTGATATGTAGATAGATACTCTTTAAATTTTCTTCCAAAATAATAGTAAACTTATTATAGATATAAACACTTACAAGAAATGTTCACAGT